TATATATATTTTTTTAAACACAGCCTAATGTACTTACATTCATACCCACATACATCTGTGCGTGCATATATATGTATGTAGATACATATGTACATATGTACTTCATAGTTTTTGTGTGGCATCTTTGTGCTTTTGCTTTTTGTGGCCTCAAGTGGTTCAATGGTAGGGAAAAGTGAAAATGAATCAATTGATTGAACTCGAATATTTGCCGGTTAGCTAGTCAATCGCTCGGTCCAAAAGTTCATTGGCGCTACAGTCATGGGGCCAGTGCTGATGATTGTTGCTTCGTCGCGGGGCAACTTATTTAAATTTGACTGGATACTACCGTATAAATGGTTATTGGCGACATATACATATGCATATACATACATACATATGTATGCACTACTCAACGAATCATTCATTAGTCATTTTGTCTGTGCATTTTTGATCTCTGGTTGTAGTTGTAGTTGATCTGCCTACCATTACATAACTTGTTTTCTATTTAATATTATTATTTTTAGAACGTCAACAATTGTCAACAACAATTAATTGAGAATTTTGTTTACATTTAATTAATATATGTATGTATGACCAATCGGCATAAGGTAGAAACAAATTTTAGCAAGTGAAAGTATTTTGGAATTCCAGCTGTGCCATATTTTTCTCACAATATGTAGAAGTATTTTTTGACTTTAAGTTAGGTTATTACAAAGGTCTATAAATTTCAGCGATCGACCTCCGAATTGTTGTGGTACATTAGCCTATTAGCCTAATTTTGCGAGTCTTGACATATCTCTTTAAATATAAGGCCAATGTCATCTTCATCGTATCGAGCCCTAGCCACAAACAAAACGTAGGAAATTTTGAAAAAATGTCGCTTTCGTTTTTTGAGATCTAGCGCTCGATATATGATACCTGTAAATTAATTCGAGGTCGTTTAATTTTCCATAAATAACAGCTCTAAAAATTTATAATCCCATCCTAGAATAAAAGGTTCCCTTTTAATAACAAAAAAATTGTTTGATTCCATTTTTCAAATTCAGGAATTCAGCACATAATTTTGTCCGTATTTTAATTATAAAAAATTATTATTTTTAGTTTCAATTACCTACCCAAATTACCTGTTCCTCGTGTGTAGTAATATTTTCGAGTCAAAAAATTCTCTGGATTGTCATAGTTCTTCATACGCCCTGGCAAAGTGGATGCTCTTTATAGACTCAGACGTTCCCAAACTTTTTTCACCGCGGCACTCCTACTCTTCAAATGTCTACGAAAACAAGAAAACACAATGCCAACTTTATGCTCCTTTAGCTTTAATTTGAGGACTGAAATTGTTTTGATGATTTCAATATTTCCTTTAAGTTTATTGGGAGCTTTGACAATTTTAGCCTGAAATCATTTGATGCTGAAAGCTTGCTGGTGTATTTGTTTTTTTATGTAAGCATTTGTTGAAGATGCACTCTCACATAGAAATATGAAAGTAAAAGTCACTAGGATTTTTAATGCCATCTTACCAACAGCAGTGTTTTCTGAATACACTTGCATCCAGAACTCTCTTGGCCCCCTTCAAAGTGCTGTCTTCACTGATGTCTAGAAGGTTTTCAAAAGCTTAATTTATCATCCCAGTAGGTTTGATTTTCAGATCACATGAAAACGGGTTTGTTATCCAGCTGTAGATATCCTCAGAGATTGACATTGGGAAAATATTCGACAATGGTTTTTTCTAAACCTTCCAAGTTGCTCCATTTCAAACCATTTATCTGTACAAATTTGTTAACACGAGAAGAACATTAAGTCCCACTACGTCGGTACTTACTAGTATTGCTACGCTTTTTAAGCACCTTTGTCCTTCTTGTCTCTTAACTTGTACATTCTTCGGCAATGAATCTTATAAGGTGAATTCCAGCAAATTCCTTTCCACGAACTCCCGCTAAACAAAAGCGGTCTTAAAGTACTAATGTATACACATATATACATATGAATGTATGTGTGTGCAAACATACCCTGCAGAAAAAAATTATTGATTGATAAAAAATAACCAACTAGTATTTATCTTTTTTTGGAGGATTTCTATAAAATATTTAACTTGTAGTTAGCTACAAAAAGCTAACATGAAACTAGTTGAAAAGTAATGCCCGAGTAATGCAGACCTAATCGGGAGATTGTTTTCTTTAAACAAGTTTCTATGTAACTATCCTCATACAAATTTTACTCTGAATATGGGATGACATACAGCATAATATGTAATAAAATAAAGTAAATAAATAAACAAGTAATTTTTAGCAAAAAAAAAAACCTGACTTAAAAAAAATATATATGTATATATATTTCATGACCCAATGATTGGATCTAAACCAGATTAGTATGGGACCACCAAAAAGAATTATCGAAATCGGTTGACGAGGTTCAAAGTTATGCGGTAACATACATAAAAAAACCAAAAAAAAAAAACTATTCCGACGAACTGATAACCTCCCCCTTTTTTGGAAGTCAGTTAACAAGTAAAAAAAAAAAATGCTTTTCTTTTTGACATGTTATGTCCAAAAGTAGTTAGTTACAAGTTATTTGACATCTAATGCAGGGGTAACCCTTGACTCGCGGCCATCGCCATTGAAATGTAGTAAGCTTTCCTCAAAGAAAATATACAGATAATAGTGCCTTGGTTCCTTCGTAATCAACTTTAAGTTAACTTATAGTTAGATACATTTCCTGCAGGGTAGTTTAACGCATTTATGTGCATTCGTGGCCGTTTGTATTTTGAATTTCTCGTTTAGCACTTTTTGTTTACCTCACAACATTTAAGAAGCTAATTTACTATTCAAGCAAAACTCCATGAATCATTCAAAACGCCAAATGTTTTGGCTTTTTGTCAATAAAAGAAAAGTGAGATGGAATCCACAGACGCTGGCTACTTTTGTGCATTTATTTTTGGTTTTATGCTTCCGTACTGGTTTAAATTACTGTTGACTGAAAAGGAAGACTGCTGAAGAGTGCATTAAACAGTAGGTAAATACATAATGAATGATAATTCTGAAAATATGTACTCGTAGGTTTACGCAAAATTTGCAAGCTTTTAACCGGTGAGCAGGTAAGTCTCTATGCATTTTTATTCAAATTAATGGTGAACGTGTGGATGTCGATATGCCCTATAAATCTTGCTCTGCAGAGTAGGTCTTACATCTTACCAATTCTTTTAAAATCCAAATGTAAGAAGACAAAAGAAACAGAGTGATTTTACGCTTGAGAAAGCAACGCTCTCAAAGCTCTGTTTTGTTTGTAAAATGTCATTGTCTACCAAACTGCCCTGCAGGAAGTGATGTTAGCTGAAATCTAACTTCAATTTACGTTATTTAAATTTTTTCTGACTTCGAAAAAGCATCTGTGAAATACAAAATAGTGCATTTGAAGTAATTTTTATGTGGGAATATTTAAACAGAAACTTGTTTACAAAAAAATAGACTCCCGATTACGTCTGCATGACTCCTGCATGAATTTACAACTCATTTTAAGTTGGCTTTGCCGTAGCTAATTAAAAGTGAGGTTTAGCTAAAAGTTTGCTATTTAACAATATTCAGCTTTTACCGCCATTTCGATCTAATCAACAACAAGTAAATTTTATAGGAGAAGGTTCTTTAATTAAAAAAACCGACAAAATATCGACACTTCTTCTAATTTGGCACTATGACTAATGTGACCAACCGTACTTCTTTCGGAAGTACAGTACTTATTTTTTCACTCTTGTACTTCGTACTTCGAAGTACAGTCAAATGTAGTTCTTTGCGATATTTTGTACTTCAGGAGGGAGATTCTGTAACCAGTTAGCGATAATTTTCGGATCGCTATCGCACTTTTTGGAGCATGTTTTTGCGTCAAACTTTGACTTTTTATGGGAGGTGCCACGCCAAATTAAAAAAAAAAAAAATAGCGAATTTCGTTAGCATATAACCATAACTGGGACGTCTGAAGGAGGTGTCCGGAATTTCAAAAAAACCGGTTTGGCCGTTCTGCCGCTTTGCGGACACCAAAAAAAACCGGCTTTCAAAATATATATTATTATAGATTATAGATTATAGATTATAGATTATAGATTGGTATGAATCGAAATGGTTTTGAATATGTATCAGAATATATATGAGTGTCACACGAAACAGGTTTAAAAAGATTTCCAACTGTTTAAAGGTTAAATTCAAACTTTTCAATAATTGAAATGAATTATTACAATATGGGTATCGATCGAAATGGCTTTACAATGGCTTCATTTTAAAACTACATATAAGGGGTTTCCATCTGTTTAAAATCTCAAACTGAGTTAAGGGGATATGTTAATTGAAAAAGTATGATAAGTTAGAAAGAAAGTTTTATGTAGTTTGAAATTATTTATTTTAAAATTAAACCTCCTTAATTGAGTTTTCTTGAAATAAATTTTACTCAATGTAGCTCGAGAAATTTCATACAATTAGCGAAGCTGGTGAGGGCGATCTAGTAAACTATGGCTGCGTTTCTTTATACATTCCGGATAATCTCATTTCACAGCCGGAACAAACAGAATACGTTTGAAATATACGTTAGCATATCATCAGGAATATTCTAAAGAATAAGTAAACAAAAAAGTTTATTCCAAATGTTCCGAATGAATAAAGAAATGCAGCCTATATTTTTTATAAAAAAAATAAGAAAAATTTGGTATGGCAAATAAAAACAAATAATCGTCAAAACGTGTGGCTTTTTATGTTTTTGACTTTGACTGTATATAAATTGATATAAACTTTGCCTAAAGTTATTATGGCACATTGCTTTTAAATTTATACTTAGAAACGATAAGAGTGGTACCAACCCCTCTTTCGGCATGAGTGAAAGATTTTGAAAGGTGCCCCAAACCCTATCTGGGGAATTTTTTTTGGACGCAAACAAAACATACAAAACATACATACCTGACTTTTAGTACTATAAAAAAAAAAATTTAAAATACTAACATACATTCATACATTGCATCTACATTATTATCATATTTTCACCAGAGAACGGCGCCCTTAATCAACAAAAAGTGATAGTGATAGCATCTAAATATTTGACTGTGGTGATGACCATGCCCATAGTATTATGTGGAAATTGTGTTAATTTGCTTAAAAAACACATTTTCATCTATATATTGCTCAAAATCACCTACGAAAATACTTCTTAAAAAAAAACAATAAACCAAAAAGGAGCGCAACACGGCGATAACCGCCTTATCAAATGCAAACAAAAACGAAATGGCTGCGATAACGATGTTATCTGAATATTTTGCAACAGACTTTTATCTACTAATATACGAGCGCTGTTGTGCTACGAAGCGTCGACACTACCAGGAGAAGAAGGTGCATTTGATTTAGTCTGGAAGAGAGAAGCCTTCAAGTAACTGCTTACAGTTTCGCGGTAAAAATAATAACGCTGTTTGCATAGAGAAGTTTGAAAAGAAGTGACTCATTGGAGCGGCCAATTCACATAAGTTTATACTTACAATAAATACATACATACATACTCAAGGTGGCATTCCAATTCAAACAAAAAAAGAAGTGACTTTTTAATTTCGATTGCATTAAGAAATTTGTGATATTTATTACGAAATGTGTTAAAAACAAAATTACTCATTTGGGTTTAAATCTAGCAACAATACAGCACTGAACATGGATTATAAGTATCTGTTATTGGTAAGTCGGAGCTCTTTATTATTCATTGAACTACTAATGCTATATTCTGAGGAAAAGTTCTAACATACATACAGTATTGGTCATATCAATAGAACCACATTTCAAAAGTGGTACTATATGGCACTTATGTTTATATATTTATTGTTAAGAATTTTCATTTAAAATACAACTCATTCCAAACATCCTAACAAACCCCATATAAACCCAAGACAGAAACTTCGTAGAAAACTAAAAAACTTAAAAACAAATTTTACCCAAATTTTGACCTTTTATCTTGAATTCATTTGAGTAAATATACGGTTCCGTAGCCAGTTCAATTTTAGTCTGATACAGTGCAAGATTCAAACCTAAAGTAGACGCTTCCTGCATGAAATCCGTTTTCGATGTCAAAAGTCCTACTTGCCTTAGCTCAGTTTTTGTTGTATAAAATGTAGGTAGAATTGAAGGCTTCAGTGCAAATACACACAATGTAAATAATTTAGTAGACAGGTATTGTAATATATTCGTCTTGCCATTTATAAAGGAAAGAAATAGGAACTGCTTCAAAAATAAAATATGTAAATATACATAAGTACATATTTGTTAATTTTCCCCTAAATTCAAGAAGTTCGTTACTTGCAGCCAACAAGTTTTGTAAGAGGGGGGCGTCTTAGTGAGCATCTCTTCATAATCTACCACATTAGAAAAATGTCTAGGTTTCGGAGTACATGTAAAAATAAGCAAAACTCTGCGAATTTTTTGAAGTTTTAATTTCTTCAATATTCGTTAAATAAAGTTAAATTACGGACCATTACAACAAATTCATATTTAATCAGAAGAAATTCGTTGTTGGTTTAATTTTGAATTAAAATCACAGACTTTCCCCCATACAATATTTTTACACGTCATACATATTTTTCAGTTCTTCTCTCCACCGTTTTGCGTTTCCATTACCTTTTGCGCCGTCTGAATACGCAATTTGAAATTATAAAGCGTTTGAACTAATTTACTTGCATTTTCCGTTTAAATTTTCATGGAAACACCCATATGTGAGGGTTTTTTGTTTACAACCAGCATATACTTTGAATTTCATTAAAATCGATAATATTTACCATTTCCGCCCGCATTAAAATATTATTTTTAACTTGTCAATTAAATTGATTTTATATTTCAAACAGGTGGCATATTAAAATATTTCGTTTAACTTACTTATTTAATATTTAATTCATTTTAACTTTTTGAAAATGCGGCAACCCACTTAAGGGATATTTTCGAAATATTTCCTTTTTAAACTACTTTCGTTTGACATCCACAATGTTGATACTTTATTTCGCTTATTAATTAATCGATTTTAATTTTGTAAACAGGTGGCAGCCCTCTTAAAAATTTTTTCTGATAGAGATTAAATACATACATATGTAGCCGAGAACATGGCTATTTATTAAGTGGCAGNTCATTTTAACATTTTGAACATGCGGCAACCCACTTAAGGGATATTTTCGAAATATTTCCTTTTTAAACTACTTTCGTTTGACATGCACAATGTTGATACTTTATTTAGCTATTTATTAAGTGGCAGCTCCTAGAATTATTTAAACCAATAATTTGAGNATTTAATTCATTTTAACTTTTTGAAAATGCGGCAACCCACTTAAGGGATATTTTCGAAATATTTCCTTTTTAAACTACTTTCGTTTGACATCCACAATGTTGATACTTTATTTCGCTTATTAATTAATCGATTTTAATTTTGTAAACAGGTGGCAGCCCTCTTAAAAATTTTTTCTGATAGAGATTAAATACATACATATGTAGCCGAGAACATGGCTATTTATTAAGTGGCAGCTCCTAGAATTATTTAAACCAATAATTTGAGAACCGTTTTTAATCTACTTAATACTAATCAGTAAGAAGGGAAAAAATTAAACAATTGCTTTTTGGATCAATAAAACATACTCGAAAATGTATGTATGTACATATATATGTACGTATGTATTTCTAACATTTAACATGTCATGCAGCTGTCTATGAGTAAAGGGAAAATAGTAGGAGAAAAATGTACGAGTATGACTGATAAGAANGTATTTCTAACATTTAACATGTCATGCAGCTGTCTATCAGTAAAGGGAAAATAGTAGGAGAAAAATGTACGAGTATGACTGATAAGAATTTTTTCAAATAGTATATAATCATAAATTTTACCCTGAAAAATTGTAACAGTCCCCCACAGGAAAGAAGATACCAATTGTCTTCAAGTTACAATCATAAGAACCGTTGTTTTGTAACTAAACAATAAATAGTCTTAAAACTGAAAGTATTGTAATGCTAAGTAGGTAATTTGTAATAAAAATCGTCACAGTATCATCCTTTGTAGAGCAATTGCATTTTAAGAGCACCGAACGAAATGTACAGTATATCAATTCTTTTTTTTTCTTCTTTTTTTATTTTCCAATGTATGCAAAAAGAAATAATTGGTCGCAGCCTAGGGCTCAAAATGTTAGATATAAATATTCCCTTTCGTGCGTTTGGTCCAAATTAGCCACTAGAATTATTGAATTGATAACCTCCTCCTTTTTTTGAAGTCAGTTAAAAGCATTGAAAAGGTTATACATATTGCACTGTAGGAATGCCAAAAATGACACAAAAAGCGCCGAGACACGTGAACTCAATTTTGAGTCGGATCTGTATACCGTTTTTCTAGATCAGGTTATTTCCCGAAGATATGTTCATTTTAAGTTTACATTGCGAATGAAAAAAAAGCAAACTTTAACAAGGAAAATGTTACTCATACTCGTGGACGAGTTCGGCAATGTAGGATGTGTCGTATGAGTTTTTTTTTATTTCTTGCTCCTATTGCAGAAATAAATTATTGCACATTTTAATTTGACCATACAAAACTCGTTTGTTTATCCATCGGTTTAATACAAATTAAAACAATTACAAACGATTTGTTACTTTTTTAATTTTTTCCTTGCTAATGTTTGAATTTTTTTTTCATAAAAAATTTAAATTTTACGAAAATGACCTGATCTGGCACAACGGTATACAGATCCATAATCTACGACCCAAAATAAAGTTTACTTATTTTGGCGTTGTTCTGTGTCATTTCAAAACTCGAGATTTTCCCTACTGTGTTATTATATATTTTGTTATAGATTTTTAAAATTCATTAGTATTATTGGTTTTAAAAATAACTTTAAAAGCGTTTGGCTATTTCGTAAAATAATCTATTGTGGATATATCAAATAATATGATAGGCTATGACTGATAAACATTTTTAAATGCCCTTTGATTTTATTTGCCGATAGACAGTTCATACATTTTACTAAGAGCTTAGCTGAGGTTCTCGGACATTTGTGGTGAGCACCCTGATAATATGACACAAATGGAATAACCTGCAGTTTTCCCCACCTCCAAACAGCAGATAGTTTTTATGAGAAGTTCATCTTTTAATGGTATAAATACATATCGTCGTTTAAAGTACAAAACCGCGTAACTGACATTTTTGGCCAAAAATTGAATTTGCTGAAATATACCAGCCAGAAATGCGATTGCTTTATAAAAGATAGAACCTCTTTGAAATATGAGTGTTTTTACTCTCTACAAAATAATTTATGCAACCTCACATACGCGGTTTTGTACTGTAAACGGCGATATGTACACCCCGAGCGTTGTCATTTTTTTCTGAGGGGCGACCGATTTAGAAAACAGATTTTTTTTTGTGGTCGCATCTTAGGTCCTGGATATAAAAATTCAGCAATTTTATTTTATATAAATTTATTAGATCATAAAAGATTTAAATCGGTTATAAAAACGTAGTCGTTTTTCTAACGGTTAAAAATTACTTCTGATCGAAAAAAAATAAAAATCACATAATAACGATTAAATTGAGATTTCATTAATTAAATTTAGACTTTATTATAAAAAGTTACAATTAAAACGCATGCGTGATGGCCTAAGTTTATTAAACTCTTCATCTTTTAATTATACAAACTATAATTTGCATCTATTAAATTTGAATTGGATTTATGTATGTTTTTATTAGAAACACAGTCAAAGATAATTCACAAATTTTAAAATTTCTTACGCCTTATTTTTAATTTTATTTCTCAGGTTCTTTCTTTATCGGTTATACTAATACTCTCTACTGCCCAACACGAAAATATACCCTACGAGGATGTGCCAGATATTTGTGCGAAATGTGTGTGCTTAACAGCACATGACACTGATAAACGCTACCACCACTTGTTAAGTTGTACTTCAAAGAAATTTCAGCATATTTTAGCGCGATGGCCAGAGGAATTTGGCAAGAAGCACGACAGTAAGGGCAACACAAATTTAAAAAAAAAAAAAATGTCAATTGTTGCTTAACATAGTACTGGGGGTTTCTAATTTTCTAGATGTGGATATTGTGGCCACTTTCTCGGGCAATAATATAGAGCTGCTGCAGCAGTTGCCAGCCACAAACGCCACACTGACTTTTTCATGTCGCCATTGTGGCATCAAGTACCTGCAGGCGCCCACTTTCATGGATGTGCCTTTCATACGCAGACTGGATTTGAGTTGGAATGAAATTGCTAGCGATGAGCTGACGCCCGATGTATTTCGTGGTCCATATCGGGTGATGCATTATGAACCCATAGCATTGGTTGACTTGGATTTGAGCCATAATCGGCTGCATGCACTGGATCGGAAAATCTTCGAACACACAGCAAATTTAACAAAATTAAATTTGAGCTACAATCAATTTAGGGTTTTGAATGCGCCAACGATTTCGGCGTTGTCATCGGCGACGGAGTTGCAGGTAGCATTATCATGAATAAATACTAACTAATACCTAATAGAAATGCTCATCCCCTTAAATTTCGGCTGTATTTCAGGAACTTGATTTGTCCCACACTGCCATTAAATCATTGTCGGCTGCAATTTTCAAATCATTAGTTAATTTGCGCATATTGAATTTGTCTGGAAATGATTTGACCATCGTGCCGGATAAGCTGCAATTAATTGGCAGAAGTCTCGTGTCTTTGAATTTGGCGCAAAATCCCATTGCACGTTTTACGGAGGAGAGTTTTATTGGGCTGAAATCACTGCAGCGGCTAAATATCAGTTATATGCCGGTACTGAAAACTATAGGTAAAAGTGTATTCACACGCTTGGAAACGCTAAAACGACTGGACTGTTCACATAACCCGAAATTGGTTGAATTCGATTTGGAGAGTCTTACTCATAGCAGTAATCTGACAAATGTATGTAGAAATGCTATTTTTCGTTTAATATTTAGTAATTAACAAAACGTTTTATGTAGCTTTGTTTAAAAAGTGCAAATTCGTTATGATTTTTATTTTTCCGATTTGAATACGACTTTCTTTTCATCAATAATAATCCGTTAAACATATCTGACCGTTTCCTCCAGATTTCATTTTTTTCGAGCACACTAAATGTGAGACTATAAATAATTGTTATTTTAATCTTTTTTCGTACTAACCATTATAATAAAAATTAAACTATTTCTATCATTACTACGGTGACCAACTGTAATCTAGTTCAAAGGACAGTTCTTTTTACCAAGGTTCTACACTTTTTTCTAAAAAACTATTCTGTCCTTAATTCTTTGAAAGTACTTTTTTGATACGATATCATAATACATCAATGCCTTTCATATATGGTATGTATCATGATAAAAACATAGCAAGGTATAACCGTTCTCTCAATTTGTCGTCCATGATTTTTTTTTGAAGTTTGCCAACATTTTAAAATCATATAAAAGTGAAAATAAAAAATTGAAATTGTTCGAAATTGTTGTTGCTTGAGATTGAAAATGAAAATGTGTGTGTGAGTTTGTGAGTAAATTTAAAAATTAAATTGTTTGGAAACGTCAAGAATTTTAAAAGTGACTCTCAGCGGTTCTACCTTACTATATTTTTATCATGGTATGTATTACAGCCTGATACATACAAACTTTGAAGAAAGAGCATAGAAAACAAAATAGTTGGAATTAAACTTGTCGAGGCGAGTGGATCCATGGATCCATGGATGGAATGGTGCACCATTCTTATTGAAGAAAATGAAAAAATGTGAAATTAAGGTTTTGCAAAGCTTATTTTGTTTTGTTGTCTAATACTTCACACAGTGATTCACTATGGGTTAAGTTACGACTTGCCCAGAATATAAGGTTAAGAGGTTGACGGACATAATGACCGACCCCTTTAACCGTAGCTGACCGGAGACCAAGCCGAAGGGAAATGCCAAAACTACGTGGTACTCTCAGCTCTCCGGAAGGAGGTGTGCACGCTATTCAACAAGGCCAAGCGCACGGGATGCTGGGAGGAATACACAGCTAAACTAACGAGCTACTGCAAATAGATCAGGTAGGCTAAGATAAAAAGTTTCAGAACCTTCTGTGAAGGTATCTCGAACACTCCAGTAGCTGCAAGGTTAAACAAGGCTCTAGCCAAAACGACGGTCGATTCGGAACTAGCACTTCAGCTTCCGGATGGCATCTATTCATATAGCAAAGATGAGAGGGCAGCCACTCGGTTTACAACACTATTCCCGGAGGCTATTACCTTTGAACTGGAGCGTGAGGTCCGGCGAACTAGACCACGACCATGTGACTGGAAACTGGCAAGAAGTTTTTTCACCCAGAACACAGCCCTGTATCAACTGACAACCGAAATTCAGGATGCTCTTGAATGCGGAGAAACAGTGCTCTGCGCTTTCCTCGATATAGAAGGGGTGTTTGACAATACGTCGCACTCTGGAGTGCGAAGAGCACTAGAGAAGAGAAACGTGCAGCCAGTGATCTGCAACTGGGTGGATCGCTGCTGCGTACTCGAGTTGCTGAAACCAAGGAGGGGACAGCGTGATACAACTACTAACAACAAAGGACCTCCCTCAGGAATCGGTTTTATCCCCTCTTCTGTGGAGCTTAGTGGTTTATGAATTCCTTCAGCTTCTCTCTGATAATGGTATCCGCTGCCAAGGCTATGCGGATGACATAGTGATCATTGTCAGGAAAAAGTTTGAGAGCACCCTCTGTGACATTATTCAAAGAGGTCTAAGATTAACAAAAGGATGGTGTTCCAAGTTACGGCTTAGCATTAATTCGGCCAAAACCGCCATCATCCCTTTTACTAGCCCGGCAGTGGGCATGAGGGACATAACCCTGGAGGGGGTCGCGGTCAACGTCCAGGGAGGAAAATCCTGAGGTTGTAGCCCCAAGACCTTCTTGGTGATAGTACAGCCAATGATTACCTATGCGGTGGTGGCTGACTAACCTACAAAGACTGGCACGCACATATCCGACGACAGCGCTGGAAGTAGTCCTCGAACTCGAACCTCTTCACATAACCATAGAGCAGGTAGTCAAAAGAACCCTACTTAGTTTTGCTAGAGAGGGATGTGGAAAAGGAAAGGGCATATCCTCTAGTAATATGGAGAAGCTAGGGTCCTCGCTCCCGCTTGTTCTGTTCCCTAGAGATAACATAGGAATAAACATAGCATTTGAGATGAGATTCAAGATAAAGTTATGCAGCACAGCAGCCTGGAGTGTCCCCGAACTCGAGGGATTACTCGAAGACCCCAGAAGGAGTAGGGGCTGGAGACTTTGGGTCCAGATCAAGAATCAAGCAGAAGTCTATGCCATCTACCTATGGGCGGAGACAATCATGAGTCTGCAGAATACGTAAGAGGAGTTTAGTTCATGTACATATTCATATTCATTCAAGTTCATTTTCATGTTCTCGTCGGGTAGCAGAGTGACTTCACGGTTGACCAAAGCTTACTCACAAGAGGTGAACGTTGCGGGATCGGGCTGGCGATGGCTATCACGCTCATTGTCTAGGACAGCCGCTTTAGCTGGAAAGTTTGGACCCTTAAAGTCACCTACCACGATACGGTTTTCACTCGTGGGGAGGGTACCTTCTTATGTCGGCGCGATATCCTGTCGGGCAGCAAAAACGTTAAATATTTCGAGGTCGACATCGTCTGACCGAAAAGCTATGCCATGACATTCTAGGGTAGTGCCCCTCCGGTCGATGTTTTCTTCGATGAGAACGCTAGGCCTCTCCCTTTATCTCGCTCGCGACCTTTACGGATCATATTGTAGCCTTTCCTGTTTTAAAAATTTAAGCAACATAAAAACGATCGCATATTATCTAAAAAGCTTAAATCTATTATAATCGATCTCTTTTACCAAACAAATAATAAACATCAGAATTAATCTTTTTAAAATTCTTTCTTCATATTATTAACAGTTCGATATTTCGTATTGTGCTCTGACTACGATTTCTCTATTCATGAATGTGACGCAAGAATCGCATACGGACATAGCAACGCTCGCCAAACCATGGCCACATTTGCATACATTCCAAAGCATTGGTAACCCTTGGTACTGCGATTGCGATCTGATTCAAACAATGGAATACATTGGCGCAGAAGGGGATACAAATATCAATCAGCCGCGTTGTGATACACCTTACTTCCTCGCAGGTGCACTCGTGTCCAATTTGTCTTCACAGTATATATGCAACCTGAAAATTCCTAAGCAGTACAAAGCCATCCTTGAGGAGCCGCCACGTTTTCTGCGAAAACGCTACATAATATTGACCGTCATCGTAGCGGCTGTAGTGATATCGGTCGGTGTTATGCTTGGCTTTGCGATCGCTGCCATACGCCGGCGACTAAAACGTGATGACTTCGGCGTTGAACCAATACGCTACACGAGTGTGCGCAGTAGTAATTTGTCCGCATTTTCTCAAGGAAATACCAATTCGATAATTGTGAATGGCAATGGAGTGGCGAACGCCAGTGCATGACTGTAGTATAAATGCGTAAATATAAATACTTGCAAATTTTGCGTATTTACTATCCTAATTTATAGTGTACATTAAGTATTTACTACAATTTTCTTTTAGTTAAGTGCCTTTTTATTTTTATAAATAATTAAGGTTTATAAGTATGTATAGTTCAGATGCTAAAATGTTTTTGTATATTTTTGAAATTTTGCAAATGAATGCCTTTTGGGTGCCTCCTGTGTCACTACTCATAATTAGAGTATGGATATTTTTACTACCAAAGATGTAATATGTGTATGTATAGTTTGTACAGTATTTTAAAATGTTAAATGAAATATTTGAAAGTTTTTGAAAATAATAATTTATTTATTGCTCTTGTATTACACAACGTTGCACATAAGAATTGCCATTTGTGGTATGTTTGTGTACTTAACTATGTAAGAATAGAATAAGAAAATATTTTTAAAGTTTTAACAAGTTTACAATTTTAAAATAAATCCAACCAAGAAATTAATTTATCAAAAACGGTATTTTTAATCAATAACAGCAAATATAATTATCGTCTAATGTAGGTTTGAATTTTGTGAAAACGATTTAGTGATTTTTTATAATAAAATTTGCCAAAATTCAAAGTTGGTTAATGTTTTATGTAGAAACATAATACATATCCATTATATTTTCTTAAAGAAAGTAGGAACAAATCTTATGAATGCCAAGTACTTAAATCACTTGGAACATAACTAAAAAACACACTTTGAACAAAAATCATTTTCTTTGCTTTTTTATTTGTAATTAATGGGCGGCCGCTGGAGCCGAGTGGATAGACACACGCACTACCACTCAAAGTTCGAACCCCAGTCTTTTTCTAACAGCTGTTATGTTATCAAAAAGCATACCACAAACAGTTAACAAAAATGTGATCGCCAAATATGTATTTGTAATGAATTTATTCTTAAGGAGCTTTATTCAATTTGGTAACGCTATGACATTACAATAAAAGGCATTAAGATTAAAGCTACCTCCGCTTTTTGTGCTAAAAAAGTATACACAAAAGTGTAGTTAATCGATTTTAAGGCATAGTTTATGTTGGCGGAACCGGATTAAATGTGCAGACATAAGCTCTCATTACAGTGGCCACACCCAAATGTGAATGAAAGCCGTATTTTCGTTTACGAAAGCAATGTTTAAATTTAGTGGTATATAAAAGAAGTTCACATACTCTTGCAACGTGAGAGTAGAGTTTAAAATGGAAATTAAAATATAACGGTAAGCAAAATCCACACATTTTAACGCTAATCTTATCAACCAATAGATAAAGTGTAGTGGTCGGAAAGTTTGGAAAATCGGCAGCGAAAAATGTGGGGTATGGACAATTAACCTTTTTGTTTATTCATGATTTTAAGTATGACATATTACGACAATTGCGCTATAAAACCTTCGTCTTAAACTTTCATCTCACATCTGGTAAAATTAACTTTTATGTGGATTGAATATTAAATAAGTTACATCTTTAATTCTTAAAAACATTTACATCAATGGATTTTATCCAGTTTAATAGTTTGGGAGTGTACATATACATATTTACAAACAATTAAAATCAAAAACTTGAGTAAGTATATGTAAGCACATACATAGTGCATATACACTTATGTAGTTATGCATTACATTTGGAAAAATCAACGAATAATAAACACAAAGTAAGAAGTATTGCTAATCAGTAAACTCTTATCTGACTGTTTGTTTGCTATGCCATTTGAAATTCTAATTACTTAAGTCTCACTCTATCCTTCGCCGCAACTAATATTTTTCTTTAACAGCGCTTAGTCGCTTTAACATTCACTCTCCAATATTTCTTCATCGCCCATGCTTGTCCTTGGCGCTGTTTCATCCAACTTGAATATATTAATTGCTTGCTTTTGTGCTAGAAAATTGCGCATTTCTGCAAAGTTATCACGTTCCTTTAATTTCTTGTTTCTTCGTTCAAACTCCAAATCAGCGGAACCGCCGCTGTCGCTTTCATCACTCTGTTCTACACTGCTGTTACTCATATCTACTGTTTTTTTATCGGTCTCCAAGCTCTTTGAATTCTTGTCTTTACCAAAGAAGTCATCAACATTAATACCTTTGGCTGCTAACACTTGGCGTTCCTTCTCTAGCATGTCATGTCGTATCGGATCGATACGATCTTTTAATTGCTTCAGTACCGGCCGGAATTTTCCCTTTGTTATACGTTTTTCAAAGTTTAGAATTTCCATGTCGTGATCCGTATTACGCTTTGCCTTAGTCTCAGCTTCTTCCTGTTCCTTTTCAGATTTCGCCTTTTGTTCATCATACATGTATGCATAGAAATCATCACGAGTTTCTACATCATTATGATTTTGAGAAATTTCAATGCGCAAAAAACTTTCAGGATATTCATCATCGGCGTCTTCGGCCTTTTCGCACTGCAGTGTTGTAAGTTTATCTTGATTGTCTAGTTTGCTATTTAAGAATTTATTGTACACCAACATTAGTCGTTGGAAATCGTCAAAGCAAACGGATAATGCACTTTCTATTGCGCGCATATTATTCGCTACTTGCAGTAGCTGCTTGCCGTTATCTTTTCGTTCTGACTCAGCTTCTGTGAGTCGCTGTAGTGTTATGTCTAGCGCCTGGCATTCTCCAGCAACAGCAACCATGCAAGCGCTCAGTTTAAGTGAAGAGTCCTGCAGCACTGCGACAGGACCGCCGCGATTTTGCATCGTCTTGGTGGCATTTAATGCCTGTAATTCCAGCTGCTTCTTTTTATTTAATTCAAAAGCTAAATTTCTGAAGTGATTATCTTCTTCCTGCACTAGCTGTCGGATGAGACAATCGATTTTAACCAGCTCAGCGTTCAACTCACTTATTGAAGGTTTGGTTGAGATCGTAAAAGCAAGCCGTAACAAAAATTGAGATTGAACATATGCAAATATGTTGTGAAAGTCCTAGAATAGGTAAGCAAAATAGGTAACAATCTTTTTTAGTAAAGCACATTTCATACACATACTTTAATATGCTTCGGGCTATAATCCGTAACGTTATTTTTAAAATATTCACATTCGCGCAACTCTTCCATCGGCGAGTAATACTGTGAAAAACGCGTGGGTAATGGATACTGCGCTTCTAATTTGCGAGTCGCTTCATACAATATCTCTGTCACTTCCTTTGCGGATGTAATACAGTCCCATGCACGCTCTATTTGTCGAGATCTGTAATTAAATGACAGTAACAGTTTAATTTAGTTTCAGTACATTATTAGTTGAGCTCACTCTATTAACTCCTGCTGCTTCATTATAAGTATTTCGTTGAAATAAGTCATATTGCGTCGAATACAATTTCCGAATTCATCAATTGTGCGTATCAAACTATCTAATTCACTCTCAACAATTTTATTACGAAATATAAATATATTTTTAACTATGTAAATAGCACTGAAACTGGCCGTCAAGAGCAAGGATGGTACTAATGTTAAGCGCAATGCTTTCGGCGTAATGAAATGTTCCAAAATGGTTGTACCCAGCAATATGCAAGTTGTCCGTGCCGTGAAGATTTCACCGCTTACTGGTTGACATCTGAAACTTTCACCCGAGATAGCAGCAACGCCTGCACTGCTGGCGTCTGTTTGATCCGGAGCCAACACTGGCTGCTTTACATGCCGCAAACACTGTTCCAAAGCTTCTACATGGTCAACAAGCAATCGCTTGGAATAGAGGATTTTGTTAATAAGATGATCTGTAATAGCCTATCATCGTGACGAGTTGATTAGTGAAAAACGTTCACACAATTGTATAAACACACAATCACTCACCCGCTTTTGCTTCACCTCATCAGTGAACTGACTTCTAAATTGTGGCTGAAAAAATGATTCCATTACTGATGCCCTACCTTCCGTGTGTGATACTGTTGCTCGATTGTTATGCAAACCACAAATTTTCATATCTACACTAACATACACTTTTTAAAAATGCATAAATCGGCGTTTTTGAATAACAGGCGAAAAACTAACCGCTGATACCTTTTTCGGTATTTATTCACATTTAGGGATTTCGGAAAAACATCGATGCATCGAAAATATCGATGTTTTGCTTCGATGCATCGAAAATTTTCCACCCGATGTATAAATAGTCGATGTATCGATGCATCGATGTATCGATGTTTTTTGAAAACTGACATCTACGGTACATTGAACCGTCATTCCAGTTTTTCAATTGTTCAAGAAAAAGAAGTGACTTTGGCCAAAAAATTTAAATGGCTGCAAGAAGTTCCGTTAGAAACATAATTAGCTCAGTTGCAGTAATTTATTTCAAATTTTCTACAATTTCGCTAATAACATATTTTGTTGTGAAACATTATCTGAAAAATCCTATGCAAATCGATGCATTGATGTATGCCTTTCGATGCATCGAAAAATATCGATGTACATTTCAATGCATCGAATCAAAGAAAAACATCGATGTATTTTTGCCACTGAAATCCCTATTCACATTTAATAACAGATTGGATTAGGTCGATATTCATCGATATTTTAACAATGCACGATATACTTATCTTGTAGGAAAGTGAATGTGGCGCGATCAGTGTGACCACGTTATTCGTAATTCCTCAAAACGTTCGGATGCGCTTTACATGCTTTACACAACAAAGTTGTTAAATCGCTCCGCAAATTTTTGAACAAAAAGCTTTCCGAAGTTTTATAAAGAGCTAAATACACCACACAAGTGGCTTGTCGAATATTGTTCAGGCCTTTTTTCCCGTTTCGCCATACACCATGCAAACATGACTCGTTCAAGAAAAGAATTTTAGTTATCTTACGATTCACAATGTAAAAGAGTTTGGTTTTCTTTGATTATAGAAAAGCAAAACAAAATACACGTTTTTTTCATAAAAATATAAGCTTACAACGTATATTTTTTTGATTTTAAATTTACATTTAAGAAAACTACATTCAGTGCAATATCTACGATTTGAGTTTTTCAGTTTATAGAAACACAAGCGTTAATTATGTTCTTAACTATTGATATTATTCTTAATTAGGCATTGGTATTACACTTCATCTATATTTTGCACATAAATAACACATAATTACATATATTTTATCCTCTAAAAGAATTTTTTCTAATCATGAGGCGAAACTCCCCACAGTAAGTGCTGCCATGTGCGAAAACGAAAACGCTGCACACAACCCAAAGTACTCCTCGGGGACCAATTGGAGAAAAACTTCGAAAAGGTTTATTACTGTATATAATGTGCTACAAACGTACCAACCAGTTGGCCGATTCATTTGAGTGAGAGTTTTTGAACTGTAAACAACACAACAGCACCGGTAAACTACATACCAAGCCAGCAAAATCATCGTAAACGAGCTCGAGACTAGATATTTTCTTGAAGAAAACCCGGCTAAAAAGTCGTTTATGATAGCCTACGAACAGTCGTAAACGGATCGAAAAAGCATTCGTATGCGAATATTATATATTATAAAATATTGTGGTTCATGAAAAGTTTCCAACAAAATCAAAATTTTTTCTTGTGCTGACAAATTACTGCAAGCCTCGTTATTTTAGTTTTTCTTTCTTTTATCGTTTACGAGCCTTTCTCTAAAGCCAAAAATACAATAACGCAGTGGCAGTGGCAGTTTTTCGAAATCAGCTGTTTTTTAGAAAGTGTGGTGTCCAATGAAGCGGCTCACAACACAGCAGTGGCAGCTGGCAGTACTGCTGTTTAGCCCAAATTCTAAATTCAGTGCCACTGCCTTCATCGCAGCAAACTTCGCATGCTGAATTTGACATAAATAAAATGCAGCCAAGTTTTTTGGTGCTAAGAAACGCTTCCAGCAGGAATTAATGATAATTTGGGATACTTATCTGTTAAGAAACAAAGCTATTTTATTTTCATCGTTTCAGATACAACCCTGACTCTGATTGACATTTCTATTTCGAAATTAATTTGACAAATTCGAAACTCCGCCATCTTTCTTTTTTCGCGAATCCCCTCGCTAGTGTGAAGGTGAGAATTTGAACAAATACATTTTTTAATTAATTTGATAGTAAATTACTTTAATTTAGAGCAAAAATGTGTAAAATGCTTCTAAAATAGCATGTGGTTTTGAGACGCACTGAAGTGTTTGGCGAAATTCTACGTAAAATGAATTTTAAGGCTTGCACACGTGTTTTGCTCGAATTGCGATACAAGTGGCAGTTGTTAATTTATTGATTCTTTGCTATTTTTTATAGGTAAAACACAAAATGCAGTTGTTTGTTCGTGGTTTTGAAACTGTTGAACCTTTCGAGGTGCTGACTACTGCCACTGTTGGCGATGTAAAGGTGAGTAACTATTAGTCCAAATATGATTGGTTTATTGATGACTGGTCAACAATGACAAGTGCTACCATTTCTAACCCAACTTTATACATTTACCAAAAACGCTAATTTTACTTATTTGATTCCAGACACAAATCGCACAAGTTTATGGCTTGAATACCGAAGATATCGCATTGAATTGTGAGGGTAATGCCCTCTGCAATGATGCCGCTGTGACATCTTTGGCCTCATTCGAGTTGGATATCACTGTGCCAATGTTGGGTGGTAAAGTGCACGGTTCTTTGGCGCGTGCCGGTAAAGTTAAGGGACAGACGCCCAAGGTGGAGAAACAGGAAAAGAAGAAGAAGAAGACTGGCCGTGCAAAGAGGAGAATCCAATACAACCGTCGTTTCGTGAACGTTGTTCAAGGCTTCGGTCGTCGCCGAGGCCCCAATGCCAACTCCAACTAAGCTAATTGTTTCTTGTGGGCTTCTGCTTTTTTACGTGTAAAATAACATTGATTTTCGCAAAATTATATTAAAGTAATATAGCCAACTAATTTTCGCTGCATACTATAAAATTACTCACTAGTTTTTTCAAGGACAATTTATTTATTATTAATTGCATATGTTTTACATTTTAGTAAGCAAAGTCGGCTTTCTTTTTTTCTACAAAGTACCAGCGATACCAGTATTCGCAGAATAATATAAACAAAGCTATCATGAAACCTGTAAAAAAATTATATTAGTAAAACGAAGTCAGTTCGGAAATTCATCATACCAAACAACAAAACCATGAAGCAGCCTTGCATATCATCCAAATTAACTTTATGATTCGTAATTTGGCGCATTCCGCCATGACCATTACATTTGTCCATAGAAGGTAAATTAATCTGATGCCAACGTTCAATAAAACCCATTTGAAACATGCGCGTTATTTGATCGTTGATTAACTGTAAGTAAGGACTATCTCTTGGCACCAGTAATCCAATCTGTTCATCTACAAAAGTTTCCCGTCCCAATGAAAACTTGCATTCCTTATCTTTCTCGAACTGTCTCTGTATAATCAATTGAAGGTTGATACGCCAATCCACGTTTACGCGTTTACCTTGCTGCACAGCGCCAATATCCTCGCCTTGAAGATTATTGTATATTATCGCACGTTGCACAAAATCGCGGAAATTGTCGCGGGTTGATATCTAATGGTATTTTAAATTAGCGGTCTTTTAGAAACGTATATCGTCGGTTAAAGTACAAAACTGCGTATCGTCATTCTGCAAGACCGCGTAACTGGCATTAGCTGCCAAAACTTGGATTTGCTCACACAAGCTCTTGGCTCAATCCTTATCCATTCGTGCTGGCAAGATATGCGATTGCTTTATAAAAAAAAAAA